TGTTCTGTTCACTGGACAGGAGAAGCTAGAATCGCGTGCGCCTCAAGTTCAACAAGCTGGACAACAGGAGCAGAAGTTTAGAGTTTAGAGAAAGCTGGGTGAATCTTGTCTTTCTGCTGTATTTTTGCAAATTTTTGCAGAGCTTTACCTTTTGGAGGAGACACGTGGCATTTTGCCACATGGGCCGCAACCTATGGAGATTGAGCAGGAGACAAAAACCAGATTCCCACGTGTTCCACAATACCATAATTATTTGGAAGGTGGTCTAGTCCTGTAGTTCATTTCCCTTTGCTAGATTTTTGCACAGAGCCATGTAGAGCCCCACCTGTCCAGGAGCCAAACTGCAAACCAGAAGATTTGCCGCTGCGCGCAAAGGTTCAGACGAAGGAGTCCATTCACTTCGCGTTCTGTAATGATTGGTCGTCAGCTGGGTGGCAAAACTTAAGGCATGAGTGGCATTTGACAAACACTGGATGATCCTATGTGGAGAATTATTTGGAGGGTGGTCTAGTCCCTGCACAGTTTCCAAATATATAGATCTACTGTAAGGACTGCTTGGAGTGTGGAGGCTGCAAACAGCGTTCTTATTAGTTGTTATGTATTCTTTTTCGTGTCCTGTGTTTAGAGCTCCACCACGCTGCACCTGTGCCAGGAGTCAGAGGAACCAGAAGGTCCGCTGCAGGTTGCAAAGGATGAGCAGGAGTCCACCCGTTCATACCCGTTCCTTATCATGTCAGGCCATTTCATTTAGAACTGATTAGAGAAGTTGAAATTGAGATGGGCAAATTATTTGAAAAGTGGTCTAGTCCCTGCACAGTTGCCAAATAAATCTAAAGATCCTTGTGGCTGGATTGGGTGTTCTTCTTTTTGGTTCCTTTTGCATCCTTTTGCTCACACGAATCCCCACCTGTTCCAGGATTCCATAATTCTTTGGAAGGTGGTCTAGTCCCTGTAGTTCATTTCCCTTGGCTATATTTTTGCGCAGAGCCATGTAGAGCCCCACCT